CTGCAGATACACACTCAGAGCTCCAGTCCTGCACTTCTCCAGCCTCTCACACTGCAGATACACACTCAGAGCTCCAGTCCTGCACTTCTCCAGCCTCTCACACTGCAGATACACACTCAGAGCTCCGGTCCTGCACTTCTCCAGCCTCTCACACTGCAGATATACACCCAGAGCCCCAGTCCTGCACTGCTCCAGCCTCTCACACAGAAACACACTCAGGGCTCCAGTCCTGCACTACTCCAGCCTCTCACACTGCAGATATACACTCAGAGCCCCAATCCTGCACTGCTCCAGCCTCTCACACAGAAACACACTCAGATCCCTGCATTCATTTTCAAAGGCTTTTTCTCCTGTCCCTAACTTACGTGTATATGGTGAGCGTCTTAACTCAGGTAGGTGAGTCTCTTGGATGATGATATTTTTTTGCTCAGCTAAATAGGGCAGGTATTGGTCACAGGCAGGGAAAGACCCGATGAGTCTGTTTAAGATTATGAAGACTGTTGTTTACTCATCTCCAGAAGACTGTGAAATCGATTTGTGCTTCTTTTTCTTCTCTGGGGCAAAACAGAATGCATACAGACACTTCACATAGAAATAAACTCAGGTTTATCACATGATGAACACAGATAAGACTACCAAGGAAGAGAGAGTGAAAACAAAGGCTGTGAGAATTGTTGGCGGCATTTTGGAAGTGCCAACAAAAATGAAAAACATCAATCAAGCTCTTCCTTGGAGAGTGTAAGAGCAGGGGGAATAAAACCAATCAAAAATACAACTGACAGGGTGTACTGGTTCAAAGCACTGAAAGTCAAGACAGATGGGCAAAATGGTACAAAACTCCAGGAGGCTCGATGATTCCTCACTCAACTCTCTGCCCAGGAGACTGTTTGTCTTTCTCCTTCACACAATTTCACGCACTCCCTCACATCCTTCTCCAGTCTCCCTCAAGTCCTGATCGCAGACTGCGGAGGCAGCCACACTTTCCCAGACTCCCCCTCACAGATCCAGGGATAA